TATGCACCCATTTCTGACATCCTATACACAATACCGAGTTAGCCTTCACTCTCCAGTCACATACCCCACAGGGGTCTATTTTACTTATCACTCGCTCCCCACCGTCCCCACTCACCATTACCTTCGTCTTACCAATATTAACTTTGAACCCTTTCTTTTCAATAACACTTTTCCATCTGTCAAATTTTAACTGCAATTCTTCCATGCTATCAGCCATCAAGACTAAATCATCTGCATACAAAATCTCAAATAACAACCCCTCCATTATGTTTCCACCCACAACATCCATCACAATTGCAAACAGAAACGGTGATAACACTGATCCTTGATGCACTCCTACCTTAACACTAAAAGCGTCCGACATCCCCCTTCCAACCCTCACCTTTGTCTTTGCCCCTTCATACAGCTGCATCACAGCTTTAACAAGTCTCTCATTCACTCCTTTCTTTCTCAACGCCCATTCAATGACCTTCCTCGGTACTCGATCAAAAGCCTTTTCTAGATCCACAAAACACATGTACAATCTTCGTTTCTTCTTTCTATAATTCTCCTGCAACATTCTCACCATGAACAACGCATCCACCGTTCCCCTACCAGGCATAAACCCACACTGCATTTCATTAACTGTAACCATACTTCTCAACTTCCTCTCAAGCACCCTCTCCACTACCTTCATTCCGTGCTCTAGTAATTTCACACCCCTATATGACCCACAATCTCTCACATCTCCTTTGCCCTTATACAACGGCACCAACACTGTGTCGCCAATCCTCAGGTATACCTTCATCATCAAACATACTGTTTGATCATAACTTCAATTCCTATCACCCCACTCGCTTTTATATGTTCTGCCGCCACTTCCGAAACCCCTGTCGCCTTACCTAGTTTCATTTCTCTAACTGCTTTCTCTACTTCCTCATCGTCACCTTCTCTATAGGTCCGTGTGTGACCGCGGATTCCACATCTCCATCCCACTCATTCTCTTCATTCATCAACCTTTCCATATGAGCTTTCCACACCTGAGCTTTTTCCTCCTCATCTATGCACAACTTGCCAGATCCATCCCAAACACATCCATTCCCTATAACATCTTTCCTATCCCTCATCGACTGCTTTGCTACTTTGAACATTTTCCTCGAACTCACATCAAATTCCATTTCCTTCATTAAGCTATCTGATGCTTTCGTCATTGCAGTTGCCACTGCCTGTTTTGCAACCTTCTTAGCCTTCCTATACTCAGACTCCGCTTCCTCCGTCATGTCCCTTCTCCATACCCTTAACCTCTCCTTCTTGACTTCCAAAACCCTTCTTATATCTTCATCCCACCACCACGTCTCACCATGCCTACACTTTCCTTTCGTCCATCCACATACTTTATCTGCCGTAGCCAACACACAGTCCCTGTATCTCTCCCAAACATCTCCATCTTTACCACTCTCCCAATTTTCAGCCACCTTCACTTCAAATGCCTTCCTCACCTCTGCATCCTGCAACTTCCATGTCTTTCTCTTTGCCACAAACTTATCCTTCTTCCTCCTCCCCATTTCTTTTGATGTCACATCCATCACAACCATACTATGCTGCAACATACCAGATATCGCCTTCACATTCTTCACATACTTCCTATGTTTGGCCCTTACCAATATATAGTCTATCATCGATCTTTGTTCCCCTGACTTATAAGTAATCAATCGCGCTGGTTCCCTTGTGAACCAAGTATTCCCCACCACCATGCTATGTGCATCTCCCAACTCCAACACTCTACGCCCTTCCTCATTCCGTATACCATATCCCCATCCCCCATGTACACCTTCATATCCGTCTGCATCCGCCCCCACATGACCATTCAAATCACCCAACAACACCACAAACTCATTCAACCCCGCTTGCCCAATCTCGTCAGAAACATCATCATAAAACCTATCCTTCTTCTCTTCCTTCCTACTTTGTTGCGGAGCATATCCTGATATCACCCTCACTATTACTTTTCCAAACACCATCACCACCACAATTACACCATTGCTTCTCCGCCTCACTTCCAACACCTCCACCAACTCTTCTCTTACCATCACACCAACTCCTCCCATACCATCATCCCCCTTCCACCACACTATCACACTACCCTAACCCAATATTAACCAATTTTAATGCAGATTTTATTTTCAAAATTTCTGTCGAATTTTGTTACTGGTGGCCAGTGATGAGCTATTGCTAACTTTTCATTGTCGTCCAGCCTAATGCTTGAAACCATTGCAGTATGTCATATCTTTTTTTTTATTAGTCTTTATTATTGCAGCTCTTACATACGCAGAACCACTTACAATGTTACAGATATATTATCTATATATCTTTTTTTTATTATGTTCTTCATATCTTCAACCATTGATTTGAAGCACCCATCTTCGCCAAAAAGGCTGTTATCCTTTTCACACGACGTACGCATGTATTTATGTGCACGCGCAATCACCGCATCATATACGCTGAGTATATGATAGCCATTGAGATGTTTTTGACTAAGCACGCATTTGAACCCCTGAGCCATCTCGCTGGCCAACATGCGACAACTTACGTCGTCTACCCATCTGCCAACCTCGAAAGGATGGACGGCTGGGTTGACCGGGAGGCGGCTACCCGGATGAACCTGTAGAAACTGCAGAATTCGAACCCGGGTCAGGGAGTGGTAGACGGACCGTTAACCACTCGGCCACTCTTCATGTTTTTTAGTTTTAAATAATTCCTTGAAATCTCAACAATCCTCCAAATGTTATTCAAGCTATCCACACCAATAAAAATGTAATAAAAGCCATCATCATCATCACCGCATCAATAACACTTACAGAATCTTCTTGCCTCTCCCACAGCCGGAAATATTCAGCTTCCTTCTGTCTTTGAATCATCACCTGCTCATTATCTCGCTCCTGTCTCTCTCGTTCTCTCTCCATTCTTCTCTTTTTCACTTTCTCAAGTTCCATCTGAAACAGAAAAATTGAATAATTTTACTTATAACAATGCTCCAAGAAAAACATGAATAACAAAATGCACTGTATATTATCGAAGAAATAAAACAAATAAATGATTTGTTTTAAAATATTATCAACCAACTTTATTTTCAATCATCTTCCTCTTCTGCAACTTCTCAATCTCTCTCAGTGATATGTCTGCTTTGCCCTCATTCTCCAGCTTTTTGTGCCACACAAATGTATCCGACCAGTGCTCATCTCCAAATGGATTGTCTTGGTTTGTGTAGCCCTGGTGAGGTTTCGAAAAATTTAATCATTTATTTAATTAAAATTATTTATTCAAATTAAGTTAATGTAACCTAAGAAAACAGTGATGTAAAAAACTTGAATCCTTTTAAATGTATGGTTGCTAATATTGAACGACATCCGTTACAAAAACATTAATTTATTTACTAAAAACAACAGTCATGAAAGATTCATCTTTAAAAAAAAAAAACAATAAACTAATTATTTAAAATAGTTTCATGAGTAAAATGAAAAATCATGTTTAAGAACAGGAGAATCATTCTCAAAATGAAAATTTTATCCCAAAATATTATTCCCCAGAACAAAAAACAGCATTTGAACATTGTGTGTGGCGAATGAAGTCTATACTGAAGCTAATAAACTGTCATTTATTGGACAAGAAAAATATAATATTGTAAAATAAATAATTGAAAATTAATTTTCATATATTAATCTCATCAGATCATCTATGTGCAAGAAATGAATGATGATGCGTAACATAACATAACATTAAAAACTAGCCCCACTACACCAAGCTAACCAATAACTCTTCATCCCATCCCATCTTCTCCTTTGCCTTTCTACTTTTAGCAAGCTGTTATTGATTTTTTGTCCAATTTAAATTTCGAATTCAATAACTTTCAGTAATCATTTAAATGGAAATATTTCAAATTACACATTATAGCAATGCTATCAGATATAAATAAATTGCCAAACCTTCTTAGCTAATCTTCTCGCTCGCTTTTCTTCTGGGGTCTCCAAGGCTTTCATTTTCTCTTTTTCTTTTTTCTTCCTGTTGTTAATATAACAAACATTAATTAATAAATAATCTTGTTTCGGCCAAAAATTGGCCAATAGTTTAGCCAAACCAAAACTTATTTTCAAGAGTTTTTAAACAGCAACTTTTTCATTATGTTCATTAAAATTTGTGTTTTAAACTAAAAATAGTAGCTGAGTTAAATACTTTAATTTAAATAGTACATTAAAAGTAAATTTGATTTTTTCAAGCCCAACCAGTCAAATTTAACTGGATTTAGAACAACAAATCATGCAGGAGCCGAATTTGTTAAATTGTTACAATACATTATATTACTTGTAATTATGTCCTTATTAGCTTGCCAACACTAGTCTCAAACCCAGCTAAAACTTTGTTATATTACATTCCTATCAATAAATTAATTAATTAGAATTTAATGCAAATTGAATTTATACATCTTTATCAATTTCTGTAGACACTTTTATTTGCAAAGATAACATACGCATAGAAGCAAACATATATTAAAACTTATATAAAAAAAAAACATGTGCAATTATGCAAGCAGCAGACATCTTAACTTATTTTGAAAAACAAATTTCTCAATGACGGTGCTTGGTGTTGATCTCTGATAATTTAAAAATAATTCAGATAATAACGATAGTCACATAAATAAGATGGCCCAAGTGAAACAATTTTAATTTTTCTCACTTCAAATCATTTTTCATATATACAATATGCTCATTGTTCAGTAATTAATAATATACATTATTGATTATACAGTAGTATACTCTTACATACATGTTCACAGATATATGTACAATGTATGAATGCATGCATACATTTTACATGCGCTTGTACAAATATGAATACATAAATGCATACATAGAAATAAAAATACACTCAAACTTCGGTTATAAAAATCCAGCTAAAATATAAAATCCAGCCTAACAAAATTTTTATTTCTACCATTTTCTTTTTATTTAATCTAAAAGTTTTCAATTTTGAATATTAAAAGTATATATATATAATATATACCATAATAATTTTTGTAATTTATCAAAATATTTTTCTAATGAATTTATTGAGCGACTTATGCTTAATGATGATTAATCTTATTGGCTTGTTGCAATTGAGTGTTTTGTTTACTTTACCATACAACCCTACACTACACAATTTCTTTCATTTGATGTGTGTTGACCGCATCTGAGAAATGCGCTACGTTTTGATGTTTGATATACATTATAATAATTAACATAATTTAAATTTTTTTAACTTTTTTAACAAGTTTCGGTTTCGGTTCAAGATCATGGCCGAAGGTTCGGATTCAACAAAATTTAAGTTTCGGTCGGACGCTAGTTAATAATGTAATTATGATCATTATAAAAAATTAAAATTGTACAAACTTCATGTGTTTCTTGTCACTTTTATCCATTTTTCGAATTTGGAACGAATTTAATACGGAATAAGTAAGTACGGTTGTGAACTTAGATAACAATCGACCTACATTTATATATTTTATATATATATCATATATATAGAATAGAGTAAACATACATGATATCGTGGTCACCATCGTGATCATGGATGCAACCTACATGATTTATGTATATTATATTTATTGTTTATTCTATGCATATAAAGCAGGTCGGAATTTCATGTAGTTCATATAATATAGTACTATAATAATACTTTTGTTGTTATTGTTAGTTGCATTGTTGTTTTTGTTGCTAGATTTTTGTTCTTTGCGTTCATGGATATATACCATAGACCGTAATAATGCAGAACTATAATTTTGAGTAGCATAGATAAAAAAGCGTTCAATTGTGAACTTAATATATATAGGTTATATAAAAAATAAACTCTAGTGTTTTTTACGACAGAATAATATAGCATATATTTAAAAAATATAACTTTTGAAACTATTTTAGCACCAATTAAAATATACAAAAAAATTATAAAATATAGAAAAAATACTAATTTTATCAAAAAATTTATTCAATAGCGACTGAATAAAATTTCTCAAAACAGTAACCGAGTTATCTGTTACATTTTTATACATATAATGAAAAACAGTAAACAAACTAAAGCGTTTAGAGTTTTATTTAGTTCTTTTGCACATTAACAAATTGTTTAAAGTCAAGTACCTAAATCTTCGACGACATAAATAAAATACATAGACAATTTTTGGAATATTTATAGTATAGTATGTATAGTGTCCACATTCATATCAGCAGAATGTAATCAATTTTTTCTTATGAATACAAATTGACTAACAATATAAACACTAAAGATGAACAATTTTTTTTAAATAAATACAAATTCGGATGTTTTTAATAAAAAAAGCTATTAATGCAAAATGGCAATTATCTTGAATGATGTTTGCGTAAAAAAAACCTCATTCTTATATATATATATATACATATATATGTATATATATGTATTGTTATATATATATATAAGAATTCACATTTATATACACATATATACATATATATATATATATATATATATATATATATATATGTATATATATATATATATATTAACAATAATTTCCCAATTATTTATTCAATATTATTGACTTTGTTAATTTTACTATCTTCATTATTGCTATTATTATTATTATTATTATATATATATATGTATATATATATGTGTAATATATAATATATATATGTAAATATACATATATATATTAAATATTAAATATAAATATATATAAATACATTTACCAGCATATATATATATATATATATATTAAGTCGGTTAATATATATATATATATATATATATATATATATTATATATGCTGGGAAAAGACATAATTAATGCAGTAATTTATGAAATTTACAGAATTTCAAGCGTTGGATAGTCTTTATTACATTTCTCAATTATTTCAAACCAAATTCTTGTCGTCATTATTTATTTTAGTAACGTTAAAATAATATTCAGTTTTCCAAATCATTCTTGAGTGTATAGAACATATTTCAATCATTTTCAGCATTGTTGCAGTTTATCTAGAGAATTTGTATAACCCGGCACTTGTTGCAGTTTTTATAGAGAATTTGTGTAACCCAGGGCCCTTTTTCTGTGATTTGCATTTATTATTATTATTGACTTTGTTAATTTTACTATCTTCATAATTGTTATTATTGACTTCAAGATCTCAAGACCCATCTGTTTGCAAAATTCATTGAGGAGCGCTGTTGAACATCGCGGAAATAGCGCTTTGCAAGCTAATTGATTGATTGATTGATTGACTTTGTTATCTTTTTATTAAATTGATATGATTTCTTTGTTTGGGTAAATTGTTTTGAAACTTTTATTTATTGCTTTGGTGTAGTGTTTTATTGTTTTGACAGCACTTTTGTCGATGTTGCTTTCTTCAGTGTCTTCATCGGTACCATTATTGTTGTTATTATATTTTATTATTGTCCTTCTTGTTGGAAGTATTGTTGAAATATTTTGTTGTTTGTTTATCAGGGGTTGTTTTATGTCAATGAAAATGGTTTCTGCTAATTTAAGATGGGAATGGCTGGAATTACAAAATATTATTTTGGTCTTGTTTTCCAGGAATTTTTTTGTAGTTTTAATATTATGTGTGTGTGTGTGTGTGTGTGTGTTCTAAGTGTATTTTCAGAACCTTTCCTTTTGTGCATGATCAGACGTCTAGTTAGCGATGTTGTAGTTACTCCGATACACGAAACATTCTGATGTGCACTGCACAGCCGATATCCATATATCAGATGGCTACGTTTTAAAGTCGAACCATGCTGAAAAGTGCAGTTGTTGTTCATGGCAAGATTTGATGTCTTTGCATTCCTATAATAAATTCGTAGTTTTATTTTGTCAGAAGGGTTAGTTGGTTTGACATTTTTATCTTGAAAAGTTGATTTTTCTAGATGACCAATAAAGAAGTTGGCAAAAAGAACACCAAGAGGTGAGCCCATGGCAACTCTGTCTATCTGCTTGTATAATTTCCCATTGGGACTTTAGAAAGGTGGCTTCGTGGTGCAAATTTGCAACAATGACTTTAGCATGTGTTTAGGTATTTTTAATGGGGTATGATTGAAGTGGTAAACGGTGTTGATTATTATGTTGATGGTATTTTTGATGGGAATATTTCAGGTGTGGTATATTTTCTTACTATTCATCATGTCAAACAATGTATCCATTTTTTCTAGGAATTGCACAGTTGTTTTACAATCTATACAAATTCTTCACAATTTTATAAACATCTAAAGGCTTTGGTCACAAAACTATTCAATATTTGAGCCGCTAATTTAACCTGAAGTTATGTAAGTTTTTTATAATTAAGTAAATTTTTATGATAATAAAATATATTTGTATGTTGATATTTTTTTAAATACATGTACATACTCAAAAATATTGTTAAATATGTACTGAAAGTATGAATTATGTTAAATGGTACCTTCATTTTCTGATTATTTTAATTAACATGTTGGTCAGTTAATTTGTTAGCCAACTTGAAACCAGTCGTATACTGTGCAGATTATAATTTGTCTATGTATTCCCATTTAATCAAAACACCATTTGATTCTATCATTTTTTTATCAGCCCGGACAAGTTTCGACATATGACATGCATCATATAACGTAGATTTCTCTATTAGTTGATGGTAATTAAAAAATGGTTTGACAAAAATAGGCAAATCAAAGATACACCAAATATAACTAGATTTGTTCGTAAGCCATCCATCACCAGTGTCATTACCTGAATTTGTACAATAATAATATTCAAGTAAGTTTGATAAAATAACTTTAAAAATCAAAAAAACAAAACAGAAATCGTAATAAGTTTTGACAAAAATTATACTTTCAATCCAATCTCTTCCTGAGCCTCAATTGCATTCAATACAAGAACTTGTATGCTTTTGAACAAAAAGTAAACAGTGGGATACTTCCATGAACCTGGTGTAACAACTATTATTAAAACCTACTATCTATCATCATGCATCTGTTTCGTGTTTTTTCTTCAGGTAATTCAACATTGAAAGATTGAAGCTGGCCCTCCATCTACAGATTCTAACCCCTTTGATACATTTAAATACTTAAATTTTTCAATTGTAATTATATATATATATATATATATATATATATATATATAAATTAACTTACCATGCTAATGTACGTTTATTTATGTGGTAAATGTAATGGTAATCCTTTACTTTTCAAACAACTGGTAGCTCTTTCCACTGTACAAATGTTATGTCAATACAAATCGGTTTAGCTCCTCAGTATAAGTTTGGTTCGGTTTCATGAAAAGTTTTGTTGGAATATCTGAAATGCCAATTGAATTTTAAAAATTAAAAAATGTTGCATATGTAATGGTCTATTGCTAAAAATTATTTTTTTTAATTTTAATAATTAACATACCAGAATAAAAAAGTAACGTTGAGGTAAGTTCCTCATTGTATTTCTTCAACTTCATAACTTCATTTCTATATGTATATACTTAAACTTTGACTTTTAATTTTTTGGTGTAATTGCATAGAACCCTTCTGGTAATTTTTAATGATATATTTTATTTTTTAGCTTTTCTTTTCAGGCTTTACTGTGTCAATACCTGTCTGTTAAATTTTTAATTTTCCTTTTAACAATTCATATTAATTATTTCAACAATTATTTATAATTTTGGTTATAGTTATAAAAACTATTTTTCTCTGTTTAGATGAAGCATCGTACACACAAACCAATTTAACAATTGATGTTGATGGAACTGCAACATTTTCTAAAGACTTTGAAGATAACTAAAGTTTTAATATTGCACATGAATGAATGCATGCATCAAAGTATGTGTGGCAGATTCAACGTAATTTTTGTCCAATATGGGCATCTTCTTATTGGCATAAAATAATGAAATATATATTAACTGTAGTTCATGCAATCAGTAATATATCAATCTAAGTAAATTTGATATTTAAACAAAAATACTGGCCCATCAGTAGAGTTTGTCTCCATCATTAATACGGATTGTAGTTCAGGTAGAGTATTTGCCTGATCATTTGGTAAAAGCCAAAAACGATAAATATTTAATATACTTGATTATATGATTTGAAGGAGCAATTATATAATTAAAATACTAACTGTAATATGTTAGTGTCATGCAATTAATTAATTCGTGCTTCATTTTTCATGATGCATTGATAATTAGTTATTTCTTTAAAATTTAACGTTAATTTAATTTTTCAAACATTTAAAATCAAAAATTGTTTATTAATTACAAAAAGAACAAAATCTTTTGAAATACTGTAGGAACTGAATTTTTTTTAAGCAGCATTTTAGAACCTACTTTGTAAAAGCATTCTTGTAAAAAAATGCCTGCTGCAGATGAAAATATTTTTTTTACTATAAAAATTTGTAATATGATTTTTTATATTCCCTTCCCACTGTATTCTTCGACTGTCATCTTTTGGTAGTCTGTTCGGTTTTATTACTTAAATAAAGCTTAACAATGTTAAGTCAAAGTATTATTATAATAATATTCATATTGTTATATTATACATACTTATGTAAAGTTACGCCGATATGTTTATAAGATCCATGGCATTGGGATATTGAACACATGGGCTTGGTTAAACTTAATGTATATAAAAAATATTAAATAAATAAGAAGAAAATGTTTTAAATGTTATATTACAAAAAACGAAAACTTCGTGTAGACGATTAAATATAAAAAAGTAAAAAATCAATAAAGTGTCAATTACTACGAAGAAATGTTTAATGTTTACGCGCCAAGTTATGCTCTGTTAATTCCATAGAACTAAGAAAATTTTTTAGAAAAGTAATAATTTTTATGCCATGGTAGATATTGTCTTGTTTTGGTAAGGGGCTGTCCAATGTCCATAAAGGATGTCACGCTTTTTTAATGTTTTTAACCCTCCTCCCCCGTGTCACAAACTGTCACAAATCGACCAACCCCCAAAAATAAGCATGTCACAAAACTTAACCCTCCCTCTTAGTGAAGAGTTATTAAACAATGTAATTGTTTTATGCATTTTATTTTTTATTGATATCAAAATAACGAATGACGAGTTTATATGACAATGTTTGATATTTAAGTGCCTTACCGTAGTTAAAATATAACAAATTAATATTAACTTCCTTATATTTAACGGTAAACTTTAACGATGGCATTTAAATTTGACTCCTCTTTTAATTAATATTCATGAGCTATTTGCTCGCTTGAAAACTTTAATATTCATTTTTCATATATATGAAAGAAAATTTATTTATTGTTTTGTTTATTTAAAAAAAGAGAAGTCACACTTGCGTTTACCCCCCCCCCCTTCTCCTCGTCACAAAGTGTCACAAATATTTAGACCACTCCCCTTTTTGAAGCGTAACATCTCTTATGGACGGCCCCTAAATGTAACAAAAAACTCAAACGCTTGAAATTCGGTAGATTTTACAAATTTCTGCACGGGCGGGGTAACGGCTCAATGGTTGAAGGCACCTGGTTTCGCTATTGCAATTACAAAAAACGAAAACTTTTGCTATTACTTTTTTATTAATTGCTATTACTGGGTTCAAATACAAAGAGATCCCCGCCTATCATATGAAATGTGTATGATGCGTGGTTTGCACGCGTATTCATATACGCTGTGTGTGTTTGTCGTTGAAAGAGAGAGATTAACCTTTAACACACACATATACAAATAGATTATATTATGAGCGATAACTTTACGCAAATAAACATTAGTGTTAATATGGTTGAACTTGAAATACGTTCATTCTAGTTAGTCTATGGTAAATAAATTGAACGATAATAAAGTCATTCTGTTTTGCAAATCTTTTTATTTTATGGAAAAATAAATATAAGCAAAAAACTGATTTTGTTTGTATTTACTCATTACCGTTAAATTAAATTTTAAGATGTTACGTTCAAAATCGCTTTGTTTCTTAAAAATGAGAACGAAGATGCGATTGATGAGTTCTGTGATGAATGAGGGCTCTGAACTTTTCAGGAGTAATAGTAATGGTGATGATGATTATGATAGTGATACAGTGAATCAGTATGCAGGCAAGAATTTGAAACGAGCCGATAGAATTTATGGATGGGGGTCTGCCTCTACTGGAGCTTTAGGTTTCTTAAATAAATTATTATAAAATATAAAAAATATTTTTATAATATATTATTAATATATTATATTCAGTATTTATTTTTGTATATTTCATTTATATTTTTTGTGAAATATTTTTTATTTTGATATATATGACCTTTGTTGATGATTGTTATTTTTCAGTTTAGAATGTAATAACGTGATCCAAACTAAACAATGAAGGATTGTTATTTTTTTTTATATGATGAACATGTATTAAATAATACAATATACATCTATCTAATTATCTATCCAATCAATTAGCGGCAATCTTTGAGTTTCAGACCTACAACGCTAAAATTTGTTTACATTTACGATTGTTTACATCACTATCTCTAATAGAGACTTACAAAAGAGCCTCTTACTAATATGCAGAAAGTTGATTCAGATTAAAATAGAAGAATTTTAAAACGTTTATTTTTTATTTAAATATGTTAACATAGTAACATCAATCAATCTTCGTTTTGCGTCCAGAGACCCGGTTTCCTGAGGTAGGACGTTGTTTTCTTTGCCATCAACTTTTGCGCCAAATTAGACGATCAGTTGTATCCATTTCATTTAAATTTAGAGCTTTCATGTCTTGCTCGATTGTTTGCGACCAGGACTTCTTTCGATGGCCTTTGGGACGTGTGCCAGGTACTTCAACATCTGCAAGAGAAGTTATGGCACTGTTTCCACTTTGTTTGACATGACCAAACAACCACAGACGGTGTTGCCGGCATTCATCCTTTATATCATCTAAACCAGCACAATGCAGGATTTCGGTAGATTTGATGTGGTCCTTCAGACTAATTCGTTGCATCCATCGGAGCATTTTCATGTCGGTTCGTTGAAGTTGTTGTTCCAGTTTGGTTGTCATTGGCCATGTTTCTGCACTATATAACAACACCGGACGTATCACAGATTTATAAAGTCTTGATCGTAGTGGTAGTGGGATGTCACGCCGCATCAATATAGAGGCAAGGAGATGCCATTTATTCCAGGCTGCACGTATGCGTGCTCGAACGGCAGCTTCAGCTGTTCCAGTATAATCCAGAACATCCCCTAGATATTGAAACGATGTGACTTTCTCTATTTTAATGGCTTCAAAAACAGTGCTATTTTGAATTTGTTGTTGTGGATTAATGCAAGCAGGACAAACAAAATTGGACACTTTAGATAAAGTACCAACTATTTTTGAACAACGTTTGTGACACCACTGGTTACACTGCTGAAACTTGATTGAATTGTTACCTACACCAGCTTTACAAACTGAACAAGGCCATCGTCCAGTAGCTGTGGATTGGATTGGTTCACCAGTGTTCATTACTTTGGTTTTGCTGATGTTGACTTTGAATCCATGATTGGCGAGTCTGGTGTTCCAATCTTCAAACATCTGTGCTGCATTCTGCTCAGACGTGGCTGTTAAAACAATATCATCAGCATATACTAGATTCCAAATGTCATCAGTGCGTATCGGTTTTGTGATTTCTTCCATCACAGTTATAAATAACAGTGGACTGAGAATCGATGTCAAATGCATCTGTGTTTCCAACCGTAGTGCTGACAAGAGTCTTAGTATTCGTATACATTTCCATCACAAGTCGAACAAGATATTCTGGAATGAGTTGTCGACGTAGACTCCACCTGATTGCTTCACGGGGAACTCGATCAAATGCTTTTTCAAGGTCTACAAAAATGTGCGATAGTTGTTGATGCTTTGCGAGGTACTTCTCTTGCAGTTGCCGAAGGATGTGAATTTCGATGGGTGGAGCGTCAAAGTTAACATTGATGGAAATTGTTGATTTCCCCGCTAGAAAACAAATTTTAATTTCCGATTGTGATGCACGACGTTAATCTTCTCTCAATGATTTTTTCGACAATTTTCAGGGAGTGTTCTAACAGACGTATACCCCGATATGATGAACAGTTCAATGAATCACCTTTGCCTTTGTATAGCGGGACTGTCCTGCTTTAGTTCCATTCAGTCGGCATTGAGCAATTTCTCCAGATTTCACGGCAAAGTTGTAGTAACGTTTGGATACCTGCAGTACCAGATGCTTTGATAATGTCATTTGTGAGTCCAGAGGGCCCTGCTGCCTTTCCATCCTTCGCAGCTTTTAGAGCTTCTGTAAGCTCCTCTATTGTGATGTCTGGAATCAGACCTTCGATGGGTGGAGCGTCAAAGTTAACATTGATGGGATTTGTTTCGTTTAACAGACGGTTGAAGTATTCTCTCCACTGTAGCTTGATCTCATCTTGTTCAAGAACCATCTCATTTTTGTCGTTTTTGATACATGAGGCACCAACTATGTCTTGTTACGTACGCTTTGCTTGTTTTGCTTTACGATACAGAGATTTCATTTGTTCACCTTTGCTTTTAGTAAGCCACTCTCTGCACTGATCTGTCGGAGCCTGTGCAACTTGACGTCTTGCATAGTTGTTCTTCTCACGGAAAATTTTATGGTCATCAACAGACTTTGATTTTTGCCATTGCTTGTATGCAACTTTCTTTTCAGCTTTTGCATTTTGTACACTGTCATTCCACCACCAAGTGTCACGTTCATGCTGACGTTTTGTACCAGTTTTCCCACAAACTGTAGTTGCAGCGTTCATTAAAACGGTTTTGTATGTACTCAAATCTGTACTGGCTTGCGATTGGTGGTTTAACTGTGTGGCGACAATCTGTTGAAATTTTTCTCGATGAATATTGCTTTTCAGCTTCCACGTTTTGATTCTCCGAGGCATTTGTTTAGACTTAACATAGTAATATATTGATTAAATAAATTTTTGGAGGGATCCAATGTGGTACAAAGCTTTGTTTTGTGGAAAAAGTCGTGGTCCGAGATTCACGGACGTTGTTGCAATTAATACAAAAGTTGATTGCTCCTGGCACAATCATCGTGTCAGATCAGTGGCATGCCTATAGCCAGCTGGGAAATATTGGCTACACTCATTTGATAGTCAACCATTCCCAAAATTTTGTTGACCCACTGACAGGAGCACACATCCAAAACGTTGAATCCATGTAGGCACGATTGAAAGCCAAATTCAAATTAATGTATGGTACATCGAGGTCCCTCAGGCACACTTACTTGGCAGAATTTCTGTGGTGCGAACGATATGGCAACCTACCGTTCGGTAATATTAGGCACATACGCCAAAAACACAATATTTGTTAAATAATTTGAATTATTATTAATTAATTATTATTATTAATTTTATATTGATTATACGTTGCCCAGTGTTTTAAACAATTTAAACAGTTTTATTTACTAAATTTTGCAGTTATTGTTTTACTTAGTATAATAATAAAAATTTCTTCATTTTTTTTCTTTTATTTTATATGCTATCCAAGAAATTTTTGTTGTTATATTTTGCTTAGTGTTTTAAACATTTTAAAAGGTTTAATTTACTAAATTATACATACAAATAAAAATAAAAATATATAAACAAATTATAATTAAATAAAAATAATAAATCTATCTATCTATAAATGCATCTATTTTAATCTCAATCCACTTTTCGAATTTCAGTTGGAGGGGCTTATTTTACTCTCTATTAGAGATATTGAATGTAAACAAACAAAGTAGGTCTGAAACTCAAGTTTTGCCCAATTAGCTTATATAGCACTATTTTTGCGATGTTCAACAGCGTTCCTCAATGAATTTTGTAAACAGATGGGTCTTGAGATCCGCTCTGAACTTCATAAGTGATGGAGAAGTAGTTAGAAGTGATGGAGATGAAAGTAAGAACTTCTAGCAACAATATTAATTTGAGAAGAAAGTGTCATGCTAGAATCAAAGATAAAGCCTAGACTACGAAACTTGTGAGAAGCATTAAGAGTTTTAGAATCTGGTAAGATAATAGGAGGAATAGGAATAATGTAGAGTGTTTAGATTTATAAAAACAAATAAATTCAAATTTAGAAGGATTAAGTTTAAGACACATAGAGTCAGACCAAGCGATAATTGAAGAAAGACATAAAGATAAATTATGAAGAACACTATTGAGATTAGATTGAGGAAAAGAAGTATAAATATAAGAATCATTAGCATATAGTTGAATAGTGAAAGAAAAGTTATTAATAATGCTAGCTAGTTCAGAAGTATAGAGTATATATAGAAGAGGGCCCCCGAAAGTAAGAGTAGAGGAGAATTATTGAGAACGACAGAAGAAAAACAATTACGGAGATAAGAAGAAAACCAAGATAGACAAGAATCAGTAATATTAAAAGAAAGATCTAGCAGCCTCAAGAGAATAGTATGATCAACAGTATCAAAAGCAGAGGAAAAGCCAATAGCAAAAAGATGAGTAAGATTACTATTGTCACTAGAGAGAAGGATATCATTGTGTATTTTGAGTAAAGAAGTTTCAGTACTGTGAGCAGGTCTGAAACCAGATTGAGATACAGGTAGTAAGGAATTAGAGTTTAAATAAAATGACAATATATTGATTATAAATTCTTTTTCTATTGTTTTAGAGATGAAAGTAATATTAGTAACAGGTCTATAATTAGATAAAGAGGTAGGATCTAAGGATGAGTTTTTAAGAATGGGAATAACAAAAGAATCCTTATAAGAAGTAGGAAATTTAGAGGTGGAAAGAGATAAATTAACTAATTTGAGAATGTAAGGATAAAATATTGAAGAAAATTTTTCAAGTAAATTAGAAGGAAGTAGATCTAAAGAATAGGTTGTAGATGACATAGAATTAATAATTTTAGTGAGTTCTAGAAGATTTATTGGAGTAAATACAGGAAAAGATTCAGTAGTAAGTTTAGTAAAGTTATGAGAAAATTAGAATTAGATGTTTTTAAAGAAGTAATTTTATTTACAAAAAAGTCATGAAACTGTTGAGCAGAAAAAGATGAGTGAGAGGATTTCTTACAAAGAAGTTTAGATAGAACAGACCACCTATTTTTAGATGTTGAAGCAGATGTTATAAAATTTAAAAAAAAAGTAGAGTGCTTAGAGAATAGTAGATATTTATAATTAATTCAGATTCATAAATAGAATAAAAAGAGTTAGATGGATATAACCTATAGGCTTTTTCCAGTCTTTTAACACTTCTTAGCTAATACACAAGCATAATCGAACCAAGGAGCCTTACGAGAATAGAGCCTATAAGTAAAAGATTTAAGAGGAACAAGCTCATCAAGAATAGAAGTAGTGTAGATATTAAAAGCAGAGACAAAATCATCAACATCAGAAAATAAGGAAGTATCAAAATAATTTCAGTAAGAGATTGAAGAAAAATATCTTTATTAAGAGAAGACCAGCATCTTTTAGAAATAGACATAGATGAATTTGCCTGCTTGTTTGTCTGTCTGTTAGTTTTTTGTTTGTTTCAAATGGTGAAATTTTTGTTATTGTTAGTTTCTGATTAATCTGTGTTTTAGTTTGTGTTGAAATAAAGATAATTCATCAGATGTATAAATATTTTTAGGTGTAAAGACATTGGTGAGGCCAGAGAAACATCAAAAGACGAGAAAAGTTCAGTTAACACCTCTCAAAATTGAAATTATGGCAAAAAGGAAATTAAAAGTTAACATCAGACAATTTTTTTTTTTTTAAATATTTTTTTCACAAACTTTACATTAAATTTTTTAATTGTCAAACAATTATCAACTTATCAAATTAAATTTTTAAAAATTTCAGAAATTATTAGTGTAAAAAATAAATGTGAAAGATTTGTTGCAGGTGAAAGCAATGGGTTGTGGGTACGGCTTCACAGTGTTTGCATGCGAGGATGGCTCAACAGGACAGATGCATGTCTATGGCACGGGTCTCAACACAGACTCACAAATTGGCTACCATGAATATCCGAGAAGATCAGGTCTCTCTTATTATTTTCATTATTTTAATGTTTTCATTTGTTGTTGGTGTTACATTTGTGGTTGGTTTCAATTTTGTGGTTGGTGTTACATTCACATTAAAAAAGTTTTTATTTTTTTATTTTCCATTAATCTGTGACTTATATTATGAGCACAATTCTAATTAAATATTTATTGAAAATTTTGGATTGTTTGGGTAGGTAGGCCGGGTGTTGGAGTTGTTGATTGAACCATCAGAAATCCAATTGCCCCTTCAGAACAGATCAACGAGAATCACACACGTGGCCTGTGGACGAGCGCACACAGTCATCGTCACTGATGGCGAAGGAGGTTTCTTCATCTGCTGCTATTTCTTTTTTTCCCAACATTTTTTAATTTTTCAAATAATTATATATATATATATATATATATATATATATATATATAATATATATATATTTCAAAAAAAAAACAATAAAACGTCTAATTTCTCTGAAATTTATAAATTAAAAAAAAAAATATAAAAAAGTTGAACAATGTTGAAAGTAGTGTTGAATTTTTGAAATGTTGCGTTATCAATCAACTGTCTGTTACCAAAATATACATATATATATATATATATATATATATATAATATATATATATATATATATATATATATATATATATATGTTGGTTATCATCAATTAATTTATTGGTTCTGCATGTTTTTTGATTTTATTTTTGTGCCGGTTAATTTGATTTTTTTCATATCCGCCGGATGTTCAGACGCAGATCTGGCCGGAGTCAAAGTCGGATCTGTGTATCAGTTACATTTTGCGCTATAACTTGTAACTGCCGCTTCATTAGCTCGCCAACACTAGACATACCCACCATAAAACTTTGTTATATTACATCATAATAAATTAACTTTAATTTATTACAAATTAAATAAAAAAATTATAGATTTCTGTATTTGGATTTCTGTACAAACATTTTATTTGTTTTGTTTTATTATGTAGTTCTGACATAGACAGAACTACCGACATAATATTCTATTCTTACTGTTAAACTTTCATGCCACAAATGACTGTACTGTTCTCATCGTGTTTGGTGATTTGAGAGTTATAAAGATTAAGTTCGTTGGCAAATAAGCCTAATATAATTAAAATAGTTATATCAATCATTTTAATACTTCTTCTCGTTTTTTATTAGTTTGTTTTGTACAATTCCCTCACCTACACTAAACATTCCCACATATGAATGTGCCCTCTGAATACGCGTACATGCATGATGAAATATAAATTCATGCACAAAATAGAGGTACATAAAAAATTCTTATCCAAACTCGGGTGACAAAATCCAGCCCAAAATGACCAGAGCTGAAACCGAATTCCTATACAGCCCTAATACATGCTGTTTCTAATCTATGTAACAATAAGCACAATGATGAATATATTATTTAAAATATTTTTTTTATTCTTTCCATCAAATAAATATTATTTTAATTTACTCCGATCAAAAGTTTTCACATTAGGCAACAATTCTCTTGGTCAGTGTGGTAGGAAGATAATTGAGAGCGAGATATTCAGGTTATAATAATAATAATTATTTTTGTTATTTTTTTGATATTATTGTTATTTTGTTATTGTTGCTTTTATTATTGATATTAGTTCTTTGATACATTACTGTTGTTTTTAATAGATAGCTTTGTTAGTTTTTTATATTTTATTTACCTTTGAGATATCGTTTATTTATTTTTGTATTATTGGTGAAGACATTTTAACATTTATCAATTGAAATCATTTTCCCTGTAATAATATTTGAAGTGGTGTATAAACAAAAGAACTCTGTGGTGAAAATGATTTAAAAAAAATATGGGGTTTGCTGTTGATTCTCTTGATGACTGTCCTTGCTCTAATATTTATTATTATGTACAAGCTGGCTGTAATGAGACCAAATGAAGTTTCGTACTGTGTTCTATTTTTAACGAGTTGATAACTTTTCAAATTGACAACATCAGAGGCAGCCAGTTGGTTAACAGGATCGATTTCAAAGAAAAAATTAAACAGGTATGTAGTTAACTAACGTGTTATATTATATTATTTATAAATCAAATTTTAATACATATATTGTTTGTGATAATGATGGCTTTTATACTATTCATCATGAAGGTTCAAATTTTGAACGTTCAGATCGAACGTTTGGCAAGTTTCTAGTGAATACGCTTAAAATATAAAAAGTGTTATTAATGAAATGAATGAAAGGTGGTATGTGGACAGGATCATACCCTGCTATTGACTGACGATGGCAGGCTGTTTGCCTGTGGACTTTCAACTGATGGACAAACAGGTTTGTCGTTGCACAGTTGCGTGCTGGCTTGGTTCATAGTGGTTATTATTAGTTGCCTGTATTAATGCATTTGTATGCCTTCTTCTTTAACATCTTCAAAAGTCATGCCATCCAACGAGCAGGGCGCAACTTCAATGCACATGAGTGAATCTGATTCGTTTGATGTTTTTTTTTGTTAATTTCTGTTGGTTTTTCCAGATTTTGTTCTAAGCATTACTTTGTAATTTATGGATACAGTTTGTTAATAAAATAAATGCTTTTGTTGTGTCATTTGTTGAATTATATGCAAAGGTCAAGGCCATTATGAATGTGTTGAAAATTTTGAGGAAGTCGTTGGGGATGTGAAAGGAGAGAAAATTGTGCAGGTGTCATCGAAAGCTGACACTGTCCTCGCTGTTTCTGGTTTGTTTCATCTTAAATCTATTTAGTTATTTTAATTTGATTAGCGTCATTATTAATTATTAATTTATTTACTCTTATTAATTTAAGTCATTATTCATTAAATTTATTTGAAGAAAAACTTTTAATGTTTTAATTTTTCTCTGATCATCATTATTATTATTGTTTGATTATTATTTTTATTATTATTACTATTGTTGTTGTTGTAGCTCGCCTGTGGGGATGCCTTAGTTTATGTTTTATGTTTGAAAATCGAACCACAGCCTTTGGTCGGCGCTTGTGAGGGAGATGTGGAATTTGCAGGGCAGTTGAAAAAGTGTTAAATAGTGGGGGGGTGAGTGACAGAGGTTGCATTGGTCGAGGATGGTATCATTCATGCGAACGAGGTAACTATTGAGGTGGGTGAAGTAGCGGGGCTGTGACAGGATGGTTCTTGGCTTCAATTTGGCTGTTAGGGGGTGGATGATTATTAGTTTGATTTTAAAGAGTTGATGGTATTGAAGACTTTGGAAGTGTGGATGTGACAAAGTAAAAGTTTGTTCGTTTGATTGTAAGTGATGATATGAAGGTGTTGAGTTGGGCTGAGCTGAAGGTGTCGAGTAGGGCTGAGCTGAAGGTGTCGAGTAGGGCTGAGCTGAAGGTGTTGAGTGCTTGTTTAGTTGCAAAGGTTTCCGCGTTTACGCCGTGCGGCCAACATCGTTTGGTCGTGGCACCAAATATCAGGCAGGCGATGCTTGTCGATGCCAACCCAGCCCTCACCCGGGTTGTTGTGTTATTGTTGTTATTATTATATTATTATCACTATGTTATAATTATTCATGTTGTTTTTATTAACGTTTTTATATCCATTACATCTAATTTCATTCATTCAATTCATCATCAGTCCACTAATAATTATGTTGTTATTATTGTTATTAATATTAAAAGATATTTTGTCGGTAAATAACGCAATTTTGTAATATAAATCTGAACAACAGAGAAGGGTGATTTGTTTGGTTGGGGCAACAATGAATACGACCAGTTGGAAATAGTTGCTCCAGATGAGACACAGGTGATGATGATGATGGCTTTTATCACAATTTATTTGAGATGTTGTTTGTTATGAAAATAAATGCTTGCTTGTTTTGGTTTTAACTCGATTAATCTTTAATTTGATGTCAGTGATAAAAAGTATTTGCACTGGAACCAACACATCATGCGCTTGTGCGTTAGGACAAGTTTTTGGGCTAAAAAATACTCATCTCAGTGACTGCGGTTGTGTTGAGTGATGGTAGGGGTGCACAACCTCCGACCCGGACAAATCCGGTTTGCCAGATTTTTAGATTTAAAGGTAAATGCATTTATGTGTGCCACTATGTTTGGAAGTACTAACATATGTGAGCAGGCATTTTCAATAATGAGCAGACATGTTCAATAAGTTAAAACTAAGAAACAAACTGTCTGATGAACATTTGGAAGCAGTGTTGAGGATTTCAACAAGCACAATTGTGTCAAATATAAAAAAATTAGTTAACCAATGCCAATCACAGCCATCTTATAAGAATGGTCGATAATGACGATTAGTTACGGCCTTCTATGCTTCAACGTTTTTGTCAATTTGGCCCTTCACTGAAAAAGGTTGTGCACTCCTAAGTGCAATCGTACGACGGTGAGATGAATAATGAAAATTCTTAACATCGAATATACAAATTTGGATAGTTAATGCATTTGAAATGTTGATTTTAATTTGTTCAAAGTTGCACACACCTCGTCATGTGCGACTGCGGCCTGACGTCGGACCTGTTAAGAAAACCTGCACCGCTGGCTCCACGTGTGCAATCCTCAATCGTGCGTTGGTTTTTTAACGCAAGTTTCACATTTAACGGTGGTGTATATTTTTAATTAAAAGATTTTGGTTTAAAGTTATATTTAATATACTCAAACTCGGACCTCAGATCATATATGTAGAATAACATATATAGGAAATTCCTTATTATCGTTACGTGTGCCATGTAAAAGGACCGTAATAATTTTGTGATTTTTGACCATGTAGATTTTATATAATCGCTAGGTTTTTAATATTTTTTTTGAAGTATAAGCTTTTTTTTATTATAATGTATTATTAAATTTTTTTGTGTTTTCATACATTTTAATTAACGTAAATATAATTTCAGAATTTATATTCTATAAAAATGATATATTAATTTGTTGTAAAAAAACATTGCAGTTTATCATTTTGCACAATGTATAAATAGTTAAAATTTAAACACTTGTTAATTTACTATGCTATCCACAATTATAGTTCTGAATTATTACGGCTCCTGGTGTGCATGGTGTTATCGGCTGTTCGATGTTAAAAATGGCTGATTTCCTATATATGTATATTCTATGTATATGCCTCAGATGAATTTTATAAAGTCACGAATTTAATTTTTACGTTTTCTATGAAGACAATTTAGTTTTTATTTGTTTTCTTAATATGTTGCTCAATTGTTTGATTACGTACGTACGTACATATATATATATAATATATATATATATATATATATAATATACATACACATATGTATTGTATATATATATATATATATATATATAATTTACACACACATGTATTGTATATATATATATATATATATATATATGTAAATGTAAATTATACTTATATATATATATATATATATATATATATTTCAAAAATTCAACACTACTTTCAACATTGTTCAACTTTTTTATATTTCTTTTTAATTTATTAATTTCAGAGAAATTAGACATTTTATTGTTTTTAAAAAAATTTTTATTAAATAAATTTGCAAATAGCTATTTCGAATTATAAATAACTCAGCTTCTTGGTTCACAAGGGAACCAGCGCGATTGATTACTTATAGGTCAGGGGAACATAGATCGATGATAGACTATATATTGGTAAGGGCCAAACATAGGAAGTATGTGAAGAATGTGAAGGCGATACCTGGTATGTTGCAGCATAGTATGGTTGTGATGGATGTGACATCAAAAGAAATGGGGAGGAGGAAGAAGGATAAGTTTGTGGCAAAGAGAAAGACATGGAAGTTGCAGGATGCAGAGGTGAGGAAGGCATTTGAAGTGAAGGTGGCTGAAAATTGGGAGAGTGGTAAGGAGGGAGATGTTTGGGAGAGATACAGGGACTGTGTGTTGGCTACGGCAGATAAAGTATGTGGATGGACGAAAGGAAAGTGTAGGCATGGTGAGACGTGGTGGTGGGATGAAGATATAAGAAGGGTTTTGGAAGTCAAGAAGGAGAGGTTTAGGGTATGGAGAAGGGACATGACGGAGGAAGCGGAGTCTGAGTATAGGAAGGCTAAGAAGGTTGCAAAACAGGCAGTGGAAACTGCAATGACGAAAGCATCAGATAGCTTAATGAAGGAAATGGAATTTGATGTGAGTTCGAGGAAAATGTTCAAAGTAGCAAAGCAGTCAATGAGAGATAGGAAAGATGTTATAGGGAATGGATGTGTTTGGGATGGATCTGGCAAGTTGTGCATAGATGAGGAGGAAAAAGCTCAGGTGTGGAAAGCTCATATGGAAAGGTTGATGAATGAAGAGAATGAGTGGGATGGAGATGTGGAATCCGCGGTCACACACGGACCTATAGAGAAGGTGACGATGGAGGAAGTAGAGAAAGCAGTTAGAGAAATGAAACTAGGTAAGGCGACAGGGGTTTCGGAAGTGGCGGCAGAACATATAAAAGCGAGTGGGGTGATAGGAATTGAAGTTATGATCAAACAGTATGTTTGATGATGAAGGTATACCTGAGGATTGGCGACACAGTGTTGGTGCCGTTGTATAAGGGCAAAGGAGATGTGAGAGATTGTGGGTCATATAGGGGTGTGAAATTACTAGAGCACGGAATGAAGGTAGTGGAGAGGGTGCTTGAGAGGAAGTTGAGAAGTATGGTTACAGTTAATGAAATGCAGTGTGGGTTTATGCCTGGTAGGGGAACGGTGGATGCGTTGTTCATGGTGAGAATGTTGCAGGAGAATTATAGAAAGAAGAAACGAAGATTGTACATGTGTTTTGTGGATCTAGAAAAGGCTTTTGATCGAGTACCGAGGAAGGTCATTGAATGGGCGTTGAGGAAGAAAGGAGTGAATGAGAGACTTGTTAAAGCTGTGATGCAGCTGTATGAAGGGGCAAAGACAAAGGTGAGGGTTGGAAGGATGATGTCAGACGCTTTTAGTGTTAAGGTAGGAGTGCATCAAGGATCAGTGTTATCACCGTTTCTGTTTGCAATTGTGATGGATGTTGTGTGTGGAAACATAATGGAGGGGTTGTTATTTGAGATTTTGTATGCAGATGATTTAGTCTTGATGGCTGATAGCATGGAAGAATTGCAGTTAAAATTTGACAGATGGAAAAGTGTTATTGAAAAGAAAGGGTTAAAAGTTAATATTGGTAAGACGAAGGTAATGGTGAGTGGGGAAGGTGGGGAGCGAGTGATAAGTAAAATAGACCCCTGTGGGGTATGTGACAGGAGAGTGAAGGCTAACTCGGTATTGTGTATAGGATGTCAGAAATGGGTGCATAAGAAATGTAGGGGTGTGAGGGGGGCACTGAAAAAGGTGGAAGGCACGTTCAAATGTAAGAAATGTGTTCATGGTGTGATTAATAGGACGGACGCAAGGACGGGGTTGAGTGGTGGTATTGAAGGAGTGGAAAGCTTTGTTTACTTAGGGGATAAGCTGAATGCGGATGGAGGATGTTTGAGCGCAGTTACGGCTAGAGTTCGTGTGGGATGGATGAAATTTAGGGAACTGGGTGGGGTATTGTGTGGAAAGAAATGGTCAGTGAAGATGAAAGGGAGGGTATATAAAGCATGTGTGAGAGCAGCGATGGTATATGGTGGTGAAACTTGGGTGTTGAGGAGAGAGGAGGAAAGTGTACTGCAGAGGGCTGAAAGAGCTATGGTGAGGATGATGTGTGGGGTTAAAGTGAAGGATAGGAGGAGTAGTACAGAGCTGATATCAATGATGGGACTGAATGAGGACATTGTGACATTGATAAGGAGATCGAGATTGCGGTGGTATGGACATGTGTTGAGAAGGGATGAAAGGGTCGGGTTAGGCGAGCGTTGGAGTTCGAGGTTGAAGGAGTGGTAGGAAGGGGTCGTCCGCGATTGGGATGGAGAGAGCAGGTGGAGAAGGACAGGGTGAAAGCGGGGTTGCGTGATACTGAGGCGAGTGACAGATGTGGATGGCGTCGATGGGTATTTCGGTTTCATCATAGGTAGCCAAACGGCAACCCCCGATCTCGAGGAAAATGCCGTCTAAACGTGTGTTGTTGTTGTTGTTGAAATAACTCATCTTCAGTGCATTATCATCAATCTTCGTTTTGCGTCTAGAGACCCGGTTTCCCGAGGTAGGACGTTGTTTTCTTTGCCATCAACTTTTTGCGCCAAATTAGATGATGAATTGTATCCATTTCATTTAAATTTAGACCTTTCATGTCTTGCTCGATTGTTTGCGACCAGGACTTCTTTGGACGGCCTTTGGGACGTGTGCCAGGTAGTTCAACATCTGCAGGAGAAGTTATGGCACTGTTTCCACTTCGTTTGACATGACCAAACCACCGCAGACGGTGTTGCCGGCATTCGTCCTTTACATCATCTAAACCCGCACGACGCAGGATTTCGGTAGATTTGATGTGGTCCTTCAGACTAATTCGTTGCATCCATCGGAGCATTTTTATGTCGGTTCGTTGAAGTTGTTGTTCCAGTTTGGTTGTCATTGGCCACGTTTCTGCACTATATAACAACACCGGACGTATCACAGATTTATAAAGTCTTGATCGTAGTGGTAGTGGGATGTCACGCCGCATCAATATAGAGGCAAGGAGATGCCATTTATTCCAGGCTGCACGTATGCGTGCTCGAACGGCAGCTTCAGCTGTTCCAGTACAATCCAGAACATCCCCTAGATATTGAAACAATGTGACTTTCTCTATTTTAATGGCTTCAAAAACATTGCTATTTCGAATTTGTTGTTGTGGATTGATGCAAGCAGGACAAACAAAATTGGACACTTTAGATAAAGTACCAATTATTTTTGAACAACGTTTGTGACTCCACTGGTTACACTGCTGAAACTTGATTGAATTGTTACCTATACCAGTTTTACAAACTGAACAGGGCCATCGTCCAGTAGCTGTAGATTGGATGGGTTCACCAGTGTTCATTGCTTTGGTTTTGCTGATGTTGACTTTGAATCCATGATCGGTGAGTCTGGTGTTCCAATCTTCAAACATCTGTGCTGCAATCTGCTCAGACGTGGCTGTTAAAACGATATCATCAGCATATACTAGATTCCAAATGTGTCAACAATGCGTATCGGTTTTGTGATTTCTTCCATCACAGTTATAAATAACAGTGGACTGAGAATCGAGCCTTGGTTAACTCCAACGCCGATGTCAAATGCATCTGTGTTTCCAACCGTAGTGCTGACAAGAGTCTTAGTATTCGTATACATTTCCATCACAAGTCGAACAAGATATTCTGGAATGAGTTGTCGACGTAGACTCCACCTGATTGCTTCACGGGGAACTCGATCAAATGCTTTTTCTAGGTCTACAAAAATGTGTGATAGTTGTTGATGCTTTGCCAGGTACTTCTCTTGCAGTTGCCGAAGGATATGAATTGCATCAATTGTTGATTTCCCCGCTAGAAAACCAAATTGATAATTTCCGATTGTGATGCACGACGTTAATCTTCTCTCAATGATTTTTTCGACAATTTTCAGGGAGTGTTCTAACAGACGTATACCCCGATATGATGAACAGTTCAATGGATCACCTTTGCCTTTCTATAGCGGGACTGTCATGCTATAGTTCCATTCAGTCGGCATTGAGCAATTTCTCCAGATTTCACGGCAAAGTTGTAGTAACGTTTGGATACCTGCAGTACCAGATGCTTTGATAATGTCATTTGTGAGTCCAGAGGGCCCTGCTGCCTTTCCATCCTTCATAGCTTTCAGAGCTTCTGTAAGCTCTTCTACAGTAATGTATGGAATCGGACCTTCGATGGGTGGAGCGTCAAAGATAACATTGATGGGATTTGTTTCGTTGAACAGACGGTTGAAGTATTCTCTCCACTGTAGCTTGATCTCATCTTGTTCAAGAACCATCTCATTTTTGTCGGTTTTGATACATGAGGCACCAACTATGTCTTTTTTCGTACGCTTTGCTTGTTTTGCTATACGATACAGAGATTTCATTTGTTCACTTTTGCTTTTAGTGAGCCACTCTCTGCACTGATCTGTCCGTGCCAGTGCGACTTGACGTCTTGCATAGTTGTTCTTCTCACGGAAAATTTTATGGTCATCAACAGACTTTGATTTTTGCCATTGCTTGTATGCAACTTTCTTTTCATCTATTGCATTTTGTACACTGTCATTCCACCACTAAGTGTCACGTTCATGCTGACGTTTTGTACCAGTTTTCCCACAAACTGTAGTTGCAGCGTTCATTAAAACGGTTTTGTATGTACTCCAATCTGTAATGGCTTGCGATTGGTGGTTTAACTGTGTGGCGACAATCTGTTGAAATTTTTCTCGATGAATATTGCTTTTCAGCTTCCACGTTTTGATTCTCCGAGGCATTTGTTTAGACTTATGTTTTGACAGTTCGACAACCAGGTCTGCCACAAGGAGTCTATGTTGGGCGACACATGATTCGCCAGGTATAACTTTGACATTTTTGAATAGCCTTCGGTGTTGTTGCTTGACAGCAAAGAAACCAATTTGCGTGGCTGATGGTCCACTTTTGTATGTTATGAGATGTTCTAACCTCTTTCTAAAATTTGTGTTCAGTAAACAAAACCCGTGACTTTCAGCAAACTTAAGGATGTGTTTACCATCTTCATTCCGTTCTTCATAGGCAAAACCGCCATGTACGTTGTCAAAACCATCTGTTTTCTCTCCAACGTGGCCATTGAGATCGTCTCCAATCAGGATTGTTTCAGATTTTGGTATTGTTGAGATGGTGTCAGAGAATGCAGTCCAGAAGTCATTTTTCATCTCTTCTGATTCACCTTATATATAACATACATTATATATAAGGTATGTAAGATATTTGATATAAAGGAACAAGTAATTATTAATTTATATAAATTATTTAATTAAAACAGAAAACCAATAAAATAAATTTAATATGAAGAACCACAAGAAGAACCACAGCGATGATAATAATAATAATAACGTTAACAATAATAATAATAATAATAATGTTTTTAAATATTGTCAAAATAATATTAATAATTTGTAGTTAATTAAATAAATTAATTCGCGCTTCTCGGCTGAGCGTTGATATTTACCTTAACAAGGCCATAATATAACCAATCTTGCCGTTAAAAAAAATTTTTTAAAATCGCGTTTTATATTGTTTATAGTTATTAAATTTATTTTATTGGTTTTCTGTTTTAATTAAATAATTTATATAAATTAATAATTACTTGTTCCTTTATATCAAATATCTTACATACCTTATATATAATGCACTGAAGATGAGTTATTTATAACTCGAAATAGCTATTTGCAAATTTATTTTATAAAAATTTTTTAAAAAACAATAAAATGTCTAATTTCTCTGAAATTAATAAATTAAAAAGAAATATAAAAAAGTTGAACAATGTTGAAAGTAGTGTTGAATTTTTGAAATGTTGCGTTAACAACAGTCTGTTACCAATATATATATATATATATAATTTGTAATATAATATTAGTGCCATCGTCAAAGCCTAGTATTGTATGAACTCTACCGAATTGTTGGCATTAATCAATTTAAAGTTTGTCTTTTTCAATTTTCCTTATTAAAATTTATATATATCGTATTTCTTTCAATAAATTAAATAAGGTAAAGGTTTGGTCTATACATGGGGATATGGCATACTTGGTAGAGGTCCAACAGTGGACAGATCTGCTGTACCGCATGTCATTCCTCCCATTTTGTTCGGCAACACTGACTACAAGACGGGGGACGCTGCTGTCACTGATCTTCAGTGTGGTCTCCATTTTTTCACTGCTTTAACATGTTGGAAAGTTTACATTCATTTTAACGTTTCATCTTTTTTTATTATATTTACTTCATATAAACAGAATAGAAATTTTTAATTTAAAATAACTGTTACTTAGTCAAATGTAACAGTTCAAGCCAGTTCAGTTCTGATATATTTTAAATAAAATTTAAATAATTCGGGGATAAAGCTGGCTCGTATGATGATTTGACACAACTGAAATTGATACAACTGAAAGTGAAACAACTGAAAGTGAAACAACTGAAAGTGAAACAACTGAAAGTGAAACAACTGAAAATGAAACAACTGAAGTTAAAACAACTGAAAGTGAAACAAATTTAATGTGTTGAGTAAGACCAATCATATGACGAATTAAAATAATTAGAATTAAAAAACACTACGAATTTTGATTTTCCAAATCCTCTTCAACGCAATCAGCGCAATGAAAATGTTTTTGATGGGATATCACGGCGTGTTTACGTCAAATCATATTACAAGTAAAATTGAATAGTTACTTAATGAATAGGAATGTATGTAATGAGTGTAGTAACCATACTTTGATTTTTATTCTGATGGAAACACCACTGCGTGCTTCTCGGTAATTTATTTCTGTAAAACCGACTGTAAAGTGGATGAAGTTAAAATGATTTCTTGCTTTGTTATTAGGCCGTGCCTGTTGTAAAAAAAACTCTTTCATTCAAGCTAGTGATAATGACCACGGCTATTAAAGGTTAAAGGTTACTCTCTCTTTCGCGTTAGCTTCAGAGGTTTCAACGACAAACACACACAGCGTATATGAATACGCGTGCAAACCACGCATCATACACATTGCATATGATAGGCGGGGATCTCTTTGTATTCGAACCCAGTCATTGCAATAGCAAGACCAGGCGCCTTTAACCATTAAGCCATCACGCCATAATTAAGATTATGATTGTTGCAAGGAAATCAGCTTCCAGCTAACCATTCATCTGTCACTTCGTTGCAAATTTATGATTATAATGTATTACATCATTCGTTGACACGTTAACGATGTATTCTGGTTGTAAAATTTTATACAACCCTGATTAAATTAAATATAGTGATGAATTGGAAAATTTTTTAATGAATTTGTTTTCATTGTCACCGACCGGTATAACATTTTTATTCGTCACCGACATTATAATTGGTTTTATTGATGCATTCTAGAGATGCCTGGACATGCCCCTTTGTATTTAACAAATGTTAAATTTTTCAATAACAGGTTTATATTATAACTAATGGGAATAATGGAATAATCTGTGACATCGTATTCACTAAAATGTTTAATAAAAATTTAGGAAAATGTTTGAGGATGATTGATATAATGAATTATTCAAAAAAATGTTTTAGAGATTTAAATTGTTCATGAATTCGGCCGCAGGTAGTGGTGACCTTTATACATGGGGAAGGAACAGGTTGGCGTGTCTGGGGCTGGGTCACGTTAACGATCAATATTTTCCGTTGAAAGTTCGTATCAGTTATTTATACCTAATTATAATTCTTCATTGACATCATATATTTTTAAAGTGTTGTATTTTATTTGTTTTTACATGAAATGCGTCTTAAACATTGTTCCCGAAATCTGCACCACACGGTTCATGTTTTGAAATAAGCTGTGTGATGTTTTACTCATTAATTCGCTTGGCGATCTGTTTTAGAGCTTCGCATTTTAGCATTAACAAACTAGCGATTTTCTGAACTTTCAAAAGACAAGTATTTGTAGGAAGGTACAATAAGTGTCGACAGCATATGCAGCGGATGAATGACTTATTTTTCATTTATGCTGGAATTGAAAGCTGTTTTCAAATCATGCATAGTGTCATTGTCTGAGCCATTTATTTTACAGATTGACTGAAGTCGAAACAGCATCGGCCATACATCAGGAGATGTTGGCACATTGTCATGTGACAATTGCACAGTAGCTTTGTGAAACGGATGTAAAAATTCAACAATATCTGATAACAGTTTTTCATAAATATTGTTCAGTTGTTCATGTTTGTCAAACGGCTTTACATCAGATAGAAGAGACTTTACATGATCCAGCTGACATGACAGTGACTGTAAAAAAAAACTGGCTATTCCAACGAGTAGTTACATCCTGTTTAAGAGTGTGTTCTAGTTCTTGGTTTTTTCCACTATACTTTTCAACGGCTAAGTTCAGATTATGACCAGCAAAACTAATTCTAACATTATTACGGTAAGCTGATTTCATGCTGCTCCCATTTTCAGTCACAAATACCAGATTGTCATTAGATATAGTCTCTGGGAAAAGATTTTTGAGTATTCTGTAGTTTTAGATTCTCTGAATTCGATTAATCCAATGGATTAACTTAGGCAATAACTACTGTTAATATAATGTACTGTAAACGCCTGATAAGAATGCCTCACTAGATCATCAGCCCAGTGGTCAGTAGTTATTGCTACAAAAGTAATCAGAGAGAAAGTTCTTCTTTTAGCTGTTGAATACAATCATTGTATAACTTTGACAATAATGACTTAGATAAAATGGCTCGATCACACATTAACTTCTTATATTGCACTGACTCTTATTTCGATCCAATATCAATCATTGTTTGTGCAAAGCTACTAAGACCAGTACATAAGAAAAAGGCTGAATATCTTTGGCTATCATGTAAAGTGTTGCACGTTTTGCTTTTTCACTGATTGTTTAGGTATCAGAAAATTTAAATATTAAATGAATCTAATTAAATTAAATTCATTAAGTAGAAAAATGTTTTCAACCATAACTGAAAATAAATTATTGCATATCGGGCCACCATGTATTCTAATAATCTAAGGTCTTGATGATACAATAATAGCATATCATACGTTATATACTTTGTACAAAACTTTTTACCAAAATTAATGAAACTCTTCTAGCATATTTTTCAAAGGGCTAGGCCCACCGCTTATAACTGGTGGTTGTCGTCAGGATGGGTGTCCGAATGTAAAAACTTTTCCCAAATTACTCTTATGTCATCACAAAGAAAAACAACGGCCCCTAGTCCCCAGCAGGCCTTAAGTGGTCAAGGGGTGGCAAGAATCCCTGGGAAGTATGCAATAACGGAGGGATGTTGCAGAAAAATTCAGAATGGCCCCTCTATGGTACTTAGACTTGGAACGCTCAATGTTGGATCACTGACTGGCCGCAGCATGAAAATTGCAAAAATGCTCGAGCGTAGGATTGACATCTGCTGCTTTCAGGAAACCCGATGGAAATCGAATGGTGTCTGTCATGTCAACTCAGACAAAGAAAAATATAAACTATTCTGGAATGGTCAAAAGACGGCCAAAATTGGTGTTGGAATTTTTGTCAGAGTACCGCTAGCCGAAAACGGAATGAAGATGACAACCGCATCCTTGAGTTTGCTGAAAGTCACGGGTTTTGTTTACTGAACACATATTTTAGAAAGAGGTTGGAACATCTCATAACATACAAAAGTGGACCATCAGCCACGCAAATTGATTTCTTCGCTGTCAAGCAACAACAACGAAAGCTGTTCAAAAACGTCAAAGTTATACCTGGCGAATCATGTGTCGCCCAAAATAGACTCCTTGTGGCAGACCTAGTTGTTGAACTGTCAAAACATAAGTCTAAACAAGTGCCTCGGAGAATCAAAACGTGGAAGCTGAAAAGCAATATTCATCGAGAAAAATTTCAACAGATTGTCGCCACACAGTTATATCACCAATGGCAAGCCATTACAGATTGGAGTACATACAAAACCGTTTTGGTAAACGCTGCAACTACCGTTTGTGGGAAAACTGGTGCAAAACGTCAGCATGAACGGGACACTTGGTGGTGGAATGACAGTGGACAAAATGCAATAGCTGAAAAGAAAGTTGCATACAAGCAATGGCAAAAATCAAAGTCTGTTGATGACCATAAAATTTTCCGTGAGAAGAACAACTATGCAAAACTTCAAATGCAGAGAGTGGCTCACTAAGAGCAAAGGTGAACAAATGAAATCTCTGTATCGTATAGCAAAACAAGCAAAGCATACGAAAAAAGACATAGTTGGTGCCTCATGTATCAAAAACGACAAAAATGAGATGGTTCTTGAACAAGATGAGATCAAGCTACAGTGGAGAGAATACTTCAACCGTCTGTTCAACGAAACAAATCCCATCAATGTTAACTTTGACGCTCCACCCATCGAAGGTCCGATTCCAGACATCACTGCAGAGGAGCTTACAGAAGCTCTGAAAGCTATGAAGGATGGAAAGGCAGCAGGGTCCTCTGGACTCACAAATGACACTATCAAAGCATCTGGTACTGCAGAAATTGCTCAATGCCGACTGAATGGAACTATAGCATGACAGTCCCGCTATACAAAGGCAAAGGTGATTCATTGAACTGTTCATCATATCGGGGTATACGTCTGTTAGAACACTCCCTGAAAATTGTCGAAAAAATCATTGAGAGAAGATTAACGTCGTGCATCACAATCGGAAATTATCAATTTGGTTTTCTAGCGGGGAAATCAACAATTGATGCAATTCATATCCTTCGGCAACTGCAAGAGAAGTACCTCGCAAAGCATCAACAACTATCGCACATTTTTGTAGTCCTTGAAAAAGCATTTGATCGAGTTCCCCGTGAAGCAATCAGGTGGAGTCTACGTCGACAACTCATTCCAGAATATCTTGTTCGACTTGTGATGGAAATGTACACGAATACTAAGACTCTTGTCAGCTCTACGGTTGGAAAAACAGATGCAATTGACATCGGCGTTGGAGTTAACCAAGGCTCGATTCTCAGTCCACTGTTATTTATAACTGTGATGAAAGAAATCACAAAACCGATACGCACTGGTGACATTTGGAATCTAGTATATGCTGGTGATATCGTTTTAACAGTCACTTCTGAGCAGAATGCAGCACAGATGTTTGAAGATTGGAACACCAGACTCGCCAATCATGGTTTCAAAGTCAACATCAGCAAAACTAAAGCAATGAACACTGGTGAACTCATCCAATCCCCAGCTACTGGACGATGACCCTGTTCCGTTTGTAAAGCTGGTTTCGGTAACTATTCAATCAAGTGTCAGCAGTGTAACCAGTGGTGTCACAAACGTTGTTCAAAAATAATTGGTTTTTTATCTAAAGTGTCCAATTTTGTTGGTCCTGCTTGCATCAATCCACAACAATAAATTCGAAATAGCACTGTTTTTGAAGCCATTATGGTAGAGAAAGTCACATCGTTTCAATATCTAGGGGATGTTCTCGTTTTGGATTGTACTGGAACAGCTGAAGCTGCCGTTCGAGCACGCATATGTACAGCCTGGAATAAATGGCATCTCCTTGCCTTTATATTGATGCGGCGTGACATCCCACTACCACTACGATCAAGACTTTATAAATCTGGAATACGTCCTTTGTTGTTATATAGTACAGAAACATGGCCAATGACAACCAAACTGGAACAACAACTTCAACGAACCGACATGAAAATGCTCCGATGGATGCAACGAATTAGGCCAAAGAAGTCCTGGTCGCAAACAATCGAGCAAGACATGAAAGCTCTAAATTTAAATGAAATGGATACAACTGATCGTCTTATTTGGCGCAAAAAGTTGATGGCAAAGAAAACAACGTCCTACCTCGGGAAACTGGGTCTCTGGACGCTAAGCGAAGATTGATTGATTTATACATTAGTACTTTTACACTTAGTAAAGTATGTTTTGTTTAGTAATGTTTCGGACTGAAACGGTTATTTAGCCGTCTGAAAACGTTAATAAGGTGCTGACGAAGCTGTGTTGGCATCGCCGACACAGCTTTGTCCTGGTTCAGTTCATATCTTTTAAACAAACCGCCCCCAATTTATTAAACTTGGCACACAGGTCTCTTTTGTTTTTTTGCCTATCTACGGAGTTCTTCAGGGCTCTGTGTTAGGACCAATGCTTTTCACTATTTATACCAGCCTCTTATCTTTAACAATTATGGCTTATTCTTTCATCACTATGCTGATGACACAAGTATAGTATTTGAAATCTCCCACCAAAATATCACTTCTCAACTCGATAGACTTAACTCTTGTGTCTCATCAATAAAGGATTGGCATTCACTTAACTTCCTTCAACTAAATGCCTAAAAATTTGATATAATGTTTTTTGGCACACCACAGCAGCTCACAAAATGTTTTCCACTTTCCAACGTGTCAATTGCTGATCAAGCCTGTCTGCATCAACAAGTTTTAAACTTCTAGGTAATTCTCTTGATCCGTCTCTAACTTTCTAAGTTCACACTTCTGCTCTCATCAAAATATGTAATTACATTGTTTGGTCTATTTGCTATATTAGACCTTTTTCACAGTTGAAATGGCCTCCACGCTAGCACGCTGCCTTTTATTATCTCGCCTTGACTACTGCAACTCTCTGTTATATGGCACTCCGGCGTATCTAGGCGTATCTAATTTCCTCTTTTCAGATTATCCAAAACAGATTAGCCAAACTTGTTTTAGAATTACCTGGTTTATCTTCTGGTTCAACATCTCTTGCTCACTTGCACTGGCTGCCGATTCATATATAAAATATTTTTAGTATTAAATTGCTGTCATCACATATAAAACACTCAACACATCTCAACCATCATATCTTCACACACTCATTCGCCTTCACTCATCTGTTAATCATTACCTTCGTCTGCCGTCATCATTGCAACAGCATCAGCCAGTCAACAAATCAACTCTCGTCAATAAAGGCTTCTCACATTGCTCACCATCAATATGGAACAGTTAGTCACTCATCATCCGTCAACAATCATCTACATAAACGTTTAATAAGCGATTGAAGCAGCGTATGTTTGAACAGGCCTGTGGTGGCCGTGCTTACATTTTTTTATCTTGGCGCCTCTGACGCTATGCATAAGGCGCTTATAAATGACATTATTATTATTATAATTTTGATGAGAGCAGAAGTGTGAGCTATTGTTAGTATTATTATTAATCTTAGTGAGTTCTAGAAGATTTAAATGAGTAAATACAGAAAATGGTTCAGTGGTAAGTTTAGTAAAGTTTTGAGAAGTTGAATGAGAGCCATGATACTGTTGAGCAGAAAAAGATGAGTGGGAGGATTTTTTATGATGAAGTTTAGATGGAACAGACCACCTTGTTGAAGCAGATATTATAGATTTTCTAAGAAAAGTAGAGTGTTTAGAGAATAGTAGATATCTATAATTAATTAATTCAGATTTATAGATAGAGTAAAGAGAGTTAGATGGGTTTAACCTAAGGCTTTCTCCACTCTTCCAGCACTTTTCTTCGCTAGTACACAAGAATCATCTAAAAATGTAAAAAGAGAAAAAGGAGGTTGATAGATTACGGCAATATAAAAAGATAGAGAAGAAGGCTTAAAAAATAAAACAAGACATTCAAATGAAGAAAAATTAAAGGAAGTATTGATAGAAGCAGTAAATAAAGATTTATAAAATAGACAGACACCCTATTCACATAAGAAGAATGAGAAAAAAAGAAAGTTCAAGGAAGTTGTAACCATAAGGACTAGCAAAGCAAAAATATCAGGTAAAGAGGATGAGAATATTTGCTGAATATAATGTGATTTTTTATTAATCGATCTTATGTCAATATTAAATAGTGAAAACGTAGAAGAAGGTTGAATATTGTTATTTTTATATCTAGTTATATTATTTAAATTAATAGAATTATTATTCTTATTATTTACATTAGAATAGGATTTATTGAATTTATTATGCCTGGTATTAGTATCATTACTGTTACTAAATATATTTATTTTCTTATTAGTAGTATTAGAATTAGATTTATTGCATTTATTATTATTAGCCCTAAGATTAAAGTAAAAGATTCGCCGCGAACTTCTCTTGTCGGAGACAAAGGGGTATTAGAAAGGCTTAAGAGAAAGTTTCTAGAATAAGACATAATAATATAAACAAGATAGAGATAATTATGGTAAAAAAGGAGAGAAGTCACTTGTTCAGAAGCAAAAAACAAGAAGCCATTCAAATTATAAAACCACCTAAGTCGAATAAGCAGGATGGCTTTTTATTCTAAAAAATTTTATAATTAAATTGTACTATTTTCGAAAATGAATACTTTAAACCACATTCGGCATTTGTTAATTTCCATCCGGGATTTGAAACAGTATTGCAATTATCTGTATAGTGCCCTTATCTATTTCCCGAAGTTCTTATTGTTCATAATGTTTTGTAAATTTGTAATTTTGAAATGAATTATTTTAAAATATACAGACTCACATCCCGGCAGAGGTCAAACAAGTGCATTGTGGAGTCGATCATGCTGTTGTCTTATGCAAATCATTTGTCTGAAACAATAATTTGTTTGCCCTCTTTGTTAATAATTTAAATCGTGGTTTTATATGTAATTTCTTATATGACTATGTCAACTATATTTGACTTGTTTCAAATTGTTGTGGGCTGCTTATTTCAAATTGTTGTTTTTCAATTTTGTATTTTTTTATTTGGATTTTCTTCACACCCGGATTAGTTGATTAGATTAAATTATGATGTGTATGTATATTCAATAGACAGATGGATATGTGTGTTGCGTGTATGTGTGTGTGTGCGTGTGTGTGTATCAGAATATTTATACAACGCTAATTAGGATTAAAGTTTTTCAAAAGCGCATACAAACGTTAAAACAAAACAAAAACCAGTTGTCAAACATCTAACAGACAAATTAATCGAGACATTGTATAAATCGGCGTAGTTTATTCAATCACAACTAAATAAAAATGTTTTCAACATCTTCAACTTGACAGAATTTAGGGCTGAGACTCGCAGGTCTTCGGAAAGATTGTTTTATACTCTAAGGGCGAACACTGCCAAATGTCTAGAATGCGAAAAGTATGATCGTCAAGAAAAGGCAAAGTTTTTTATTCTACGTAGATGAAAGTAAGAACTTCTAGCAACACTTAATCTGAGAAAAAAGATAAAGCCTAAACTACGAAACTCGTGTGAAACATCAAGAGTTTTAGAATCAGGTAAGATAATAGAAGGAATAGTAATAGAGCGTTTAGATTTAGGGTATTTAAACAAATTAATCAAAATTTAGAAAGATTAAGTTTAAGACACATAGAGCGAGACCAAGCGATAATTGAAGACATAATTATGAAGAACACTTTTGAAATTAGAGGGAGGAAAAGAAGTGTAAATATAAAAATCATCAGCATCTAGCAAGAAAAAAAGTAAGATAATTGTTATCACTAGAGAAAAGGATATCATTAGGTATTTTTAATAAAAAAGCTTCAGTACTGTGAGCTGAGCAGGTCGGAAACCAGATAGAGATACAGGTAGCAAGGAGTTATAGTTTAAATAAAATGATAATTATCATTTTTATAGGTTTATAGCCAATTATAGGTTTATAGCCAATTATAGGTTTATAGCCAATTATAATTGGCTATAAACCTGCAGCTGCCAGGTTGGTTGCTGGTGGTGTCTCGAAGTTTGATCCAACATTTCAGTACATTAAATTTGAACCACACTGGCTTCATCGGCCAGAAATGGTAACATTCAAATTAGCTCTACTTGTAAACGATTGTGTGCTCCAACCAATTTCAGAAATTCAATACAGGGATCGACTGCGATCATCCAACCACGGTGACCTTGTTCCAAAATCCAAATCTTCCTTTTTTGGGTAAAGTAGATTTTCTGTATCAGCTGCCAAAACTTGGAACGCGCTAATTGTTGATCGAAATAAGTCGATCGAAATAAGTTGATCGAAAAAAGAAATAAGTCGAAGTGACTCCAAGAAGCATCTAAAAAAATCATTTATTCAACCTCCCACAGCGAAGAAAGTGAAGAAACCGCGTCTGAAGTCAATTCATGAGAGGCGCAGTACAAGTTCTGCCAAACTATAATACAAAAGATCAATCAGTAGCCATCTATAGGGCTTCGATGATCTATCATCAACTTTTTGATTCTGTTTGAACCGATAGCTGAAAGTGTGGAAAAAAATTAATTCTGAATTCTGGTTTTGGATCGATAAGTTATAAAAAATGTAAAATTAGTTTTTTAGAGTACACACCATGGAATTATATAACTGGAAACGCCCTACCAGCGTTTTAACATTGAAAATTTTTTTCAACGGGCAAGTTACCTCTGGAAACAAGTTTCTAAAAATTAATTATTCATGAGCATTTTGGTTTATTTTTAGAATAATCTGAGATATAATTAGAAAAAATCTTGGCCTTCCCGAAGTTATGTTAATGACTCTTTGCCGATCTGCATCCAGTTCGTTAGTTAAAATTTATTTCGTTTTCAACATTCCGTGAAGTTTTAGGTTAATTTATGAGGTTTATATAACCACCGTATTTAATGTTTAATCGTTAAATGGATATTGCCATTTTTTGATGCATCAGAAAAATCGAAGATTTATAATAAGTTCGTTAGCGATCCTCTTTTTCTGAAATAAAGATTTCTTCATTCATTCTCCCAGCACCCACGAATCACGATGATGATCATTTACTTCATATCATTTCATTAGAGTAATAATCATTCCTAAATTAAATTAGATTCTAATTTAGAATCTAGAAAACGAAAAGAAGTTGGTAAAAATTTTATTGTAAAAACTAAAAATGAAATGTTATTAATATTTAAAAAATATAACTCATAATCAATTTATAATATTGTTATATATAAATAAATTAATCAACTAATAATTTTTAAATTAAGATGTAATTCCTGTGCATATGTCCTCAACTAGAATCTTTCAACACTCCAAAGCTTACAATTCAAAGGAATAATTACTTTCAACATCACATACCCAAACCAAATTTAATCACACAGAGGAAGTTTTTAAAATTTATTTTGGTAGTAAAAGCAAACAATTTTTTTTTCTGTTTAAATGTTATGATTTATAATTTTGTATTATTTATTAATATATTATATTTTATTATATATTATAATTTATTTTATAATATATTTATATATATTAAATAAATTATATATATATTATTATATTTATATATATTAAATAAATTATATAATAATTCAAGTTAAAATCAAATTCTTTGACTATTTCAACTGTAATTGACATTATTAATATATTAAATAAATAATAATAGTTTCTTTAATAACATCAAATTCATTATGCTATTAATTTAAAACGATCAACTGTTAATTTTTAATAGAATAGGTATGTTTAATAATTTTTAGTTTAACATTACTATTTATAAAATAACCCTGAAGATGCTAGATCATGAGAGTGTATATTATTATATTTATGTGTAAATTGTTATATTTCTTGTTTGTTGATTATAAAACGTCTATCTTGCTATAATTAGTGATGAGTCAAGTTAGATCAGTCTTACCTTTTTTATTTCTGGATTTTGGTTTTGTTTATTTGTTGTATAACTGCAAAATGTTTGATTTACATAATTATAAATTTATCTATCAAAACTATTTTAAAAAGTGAAACACATACACACACACACACACACACACACACACACACACACACACACACATATATATATATATATATATATATATATATATATATATATATATATATATATATACATACATACATAAAAGATATACATAAAAGATAAAAACAAAGGTTGTAGAATTTGCTTCTGATGTAGTCTATTAGAAGCACTGTACAAATTCAATAAAACAATTGATTTAATAAATCTAAATTGTATAATTTTTGCCGCAGTTTATTATTTAATTTACTTTTATTAAAACTGCATGTTGATAGAAAACTCTTTAGTTAAGTTAAAAAGTCTTAATGTTGTATATGATGTTATTATTTTTTTTATTAATTCATAATAATGGTTTACATTCTGTACATCATTGAAATGATTTTCCATGTTAAATAAATCTTCGTTGACACATTGTAGGTGTATGTTGCTTTCAATTACAAGTTTTTTCTTAAAACAAAAATTATTTATTTTTAATAATCTTCCTGATTCTTGGCAGATCTGAAAATCATTAAAATTTATTGCTTTTACCAGAAAATAAATAAATGTATCATTTTTATTTTAATACTCCTTTTGAGGGATATGTCAATTGCCCATTGTCTTTTAGTATGATGAGATGATTTGATGATTCGCTAAATATGTTTCTTCTGGCTGAAATCAAGCATTTTCTGCATATTTGTTGGGATTTGTAACAGCATATTAATGCAAAATTTTAAATGAATTTTGGAGAGGTTTACATTAGAAGTAAAAAAAACCTGCATTCTGTGCATGAGATGGTCGATGTTATTGACTTCACCACCCATCCTATACTCTTGAAAGCTCCAAATTTAAATGAAATGAATACAACTGATCACCTAATTGGCGCAAAAACTTGATGGCAAAGAAAACAACATCCTACCTCAGGGGAACTGAGTCTCTGGACGCTAAACTAAGATTGATTGATTTTGGCTATCAGTATACATTTCTTTATATATACTAGTTCATAGAAAATCATGATCAACAAAATTTTACTTGTTCAATGTTCTCGGGTGTGGCAGTGTTAGTCCACTTTTTCTTAAAAATTGGTATGCACAAGGACCAGTCTTGTAACTATTATCATATACTTTGTTAACTCTTTTAAATGGTATGAGTTTTTTATCTAGAAGCAAAAATAAACAAAAAGTTAGTCAAAATTTCAATTCATTTTGCTATGGTTATATAGCATAAAACCTTTGTATGTAGCTAATTCATTTTTTAATTTATTGCATTCACTCATAAGTTTTCTTATTGTTGCCTGCAGCAGTGTGATTCTGGACTTATAATACTTTGATTGCCTTTGCTGTTGCTTGATGAGATGGGCATCCATTGAGCAAAACATCTAAAAATGGTTTTAAATTGAAAGTAAATAGCTGCATTTAAAAGTTTATATATATATACATATATACATATATATATATATATATATATATATATATATATATATATATATATATATGCCCAATAAAGTAATGAAACTCTTTATGTTCTGTATTTCTTATGACAAAAAGCCATTTTAACAAAGGCATCCTAATAATAATAATGAACCCATAATACAAAAAAAAAACATATTTTCCATTAGAATCAAAATTAGCATTTTATAAAATGTAATAAGAAAATGCCCAAATCCTTATCGTTTTATTTGTTAAATATCTGATAGTAAGCCGGCAAATGCCAATGTTATTGTGTTGTATATTAATATTTGGTTTGAATTAATCAATATTGCTTCAGCAATCCTTTGTTTATTATATATAAATACTAAATTAATTGCCTCAGTTTGTGTTGTTTTGGTTTTTGCCTTTTCAAATACCACACCAGGAAATACTGTTGGGAAGGCATCTTTCTGACTTTTTTATTTGACTTTGAAAAGGATTTTGAATCAAAATGTTTACTACATATATATGATCTTTTTCTTTCAAAACCTCTACACCTGCCATTCAATGCATTGATCCACTGACTTTTTATAGGTGATTTTTGAGGAATGCTGTAATGCATATTGCATTTGTCAAAAATGAATTATTGAAATTTATATCTATTAATCCATGGAGAGAGGTCAAGTGAATCATAAAATATGCAAATGATATAAAAATATTATTAAGATCATATTATTACCTGTGCATAGATATATTTTGGTCTTTATATGTCCCATTACAATTTTTTACTATACACTTTAATGGCATTTTTAATTTAATAAAAGATAGAAATTATATTCAAAAACTAACTTACTGCTTATCGTCTGCTCAATTCATTCCAAAGATCAGAAATTTTCAAGTAGCATATCCAAAAAAATGTATACAATTATTTGATTCAATAGCAATATTTATTATAATTGAAAAAATATATTGATTATATTAAAATTTAAAGTAACATCAATATGGTATTCCACATTACTATTTTAATTAATAATAATAAAATAAAAAGATTTATGTGGCTTGTTATCTAGTTCCAGTGGCGTCACTAGGGTTGGTGTCACCCGGTGCGGTAACTCATGGTGTCACACCTCTCATGACACCCCATATACATACAGCATTCTTAGCATAATTTATAAATAAATTTACAACGACAATAGAAGAAAAAATAATTCAAGGTCGATTTTTTTATTCTTTAAAAAAAATTGTGATCTATCAAAGATTTTAAGAAATAAAACTAAATAGAAAATATGTCACTTTTTTAATAGTTATTTTTACATTAAATTTTATGTCACATTAAATCTCAACTAAATCAGAACTTCCCTTTCCTCGCCTTTAAAGATGCAAACTTGTTAATTACTTCATCAAAATCAATTTCTTTTGCCAAATCTCTTTCAATTGATAATATTGCAAGATCAGAAAGCCTAGACTGTCCCATAGTAGATCGCAAATAGTTCTTTATAATCTTTAGCTTTGAAAAACTCCTCTCACATGAAGCCACAGACACACAGATTGTAAGAAATAATTGTAGGCTCACTGAGAGATATGGGAGAGATTCTAGGAAGTCCCATTCAACTATGAATTTCAAAATGTCAAGTACTGACCAGTCTTTGGCTTCTTCAAGATCAATCTCTGCTGCCTTCAGATATCTTCTCAGTCTTGGTATTTCTAATAAAAGCTCTATTTCTGATAACTCATCATAGAATGTGGTCAATTTTGGAACGTTTACCAATAACTCTTCTTTAGTAGCAGATATCAAACTCTTGGCTTGAACAACCTCAAACATGGCTGCTACTTCCTTGATGGCTCTTGATCTGATCTGGAGTTCAGAATGGAAACGATCAATACACTCATACATCGCTCTCTTGTTTTCTTCCTGCAGAGTAAGTCCAGCATCTCTCGTCTTCTCGCGCTCGCCTGCCATCCTCTTCTTGAACCTGGGTCTGCTCTCTACTGAAATTCCATATTGGTCTGATTTTATAAGTGCCTGTTCAATTGCCTGCTCCACAAGATGATTGCGCTTCTCATACATAAAAAGTCTTAGTGTCTCTAGCTTTGTCACCACCTTGTCAAGACTTAAGCCCTTAGTCTGAAGGTACAGCTGCGTTAGATTTACTTCTTCAAGTACATCACACCAAAAGAAGAGATAGCACAGAAAAGTGAAATTGCAGATAGCAGGTAAAAGACCTCGGGCTGTACCTCTAGTGTCTAGATTTTCCCCTGGATCACAAAGAGCTTCTATTGCCGTCACACATTCATCAAATTTTTCTTTCACTGCCTTTACTGCTGCGTGATGAGAACTCCAGCGTGTTGTTGATAATC